CCATCTGCTAACACTCTGGTGAGTCTTGGCCACATGTCTCTCAGGTCCCACGAGCCCAGGGCCATCTCAGGACAGAATGCAGCTCCTGGATGCGATCTTGAGACAGCAGAACCAGGTGTCATCTGTTCGGGGGTGCTCTGCATTTAATGCTCCTGGTCAAACTTCAGAAAGTCCCAGCTTGCTAAGCAGGGACAAGTTTCAATGCCTGCCTACCCATACTCAAAGACTGGCAAAAAGTAACTTCTATGGGGATAAGAGATTTTGGAAAAGGAAAATGAAGGAAAAGGAATATATGAAGAACATAAAGTCCTAAGATCTACAAAGAAATACTGAGAAGCTATAAGGTTGAATAATTGACATAACTGGATGCTTTGGCCCAATACAAAAGGCCAAAGCAGGAGACCCCAGCAAGGGAGGGATGTGAGAAGAGGATCACAGGAATGATTTCAAAACTCATCAGAGAAAATATTTTTCTTTTTTTAAAGATTTTTATTTATTTATTTGAGAGAGAGAGAGCACGAGCGCACGTGCACAGGGAGTGGGGGGCAGCAGGTGCAGGGAGGGAGGCAGAAGGAGAGAGAGAAACTCAGGCAGACTCCCTGCTGAGTGCGGAGTCTGACTCAAGAGGCTCATCCTAGGACCCTGAACTCATGACCTGAGAGAAAACCAACAAACAGTGGGAGGCTTAACCAGTTGAGCCACCCAGGTGCCCCAGGGAAAAGATTTCTAATGCTAAGAGGGTATGACTAAAAGAGAAAACATCAGCATGTCATGTTTTATTGCAACAACAAAGACGTTTGTTGCAACAACATAGAAAGAAAGAGATTATTGATCAAAGAGTCATAACCTTGAAGTTAAAGTCTCGGGAGTGGGGGGCAACAGAAAGTACAAGGGTCCCAAGGACAATGAACAGAGAGGAAGAAAATACCATATATAGGATCTACAATATATAAAGAACCCCCCTAAAAAGAAATAAATAAGCAACTCAGTGGAAATTAGCAAGGGTCTGAACAGAAAATCCACAGATAAAAATATAAATGACCAGTAAATATTTACAACATGCTGAGACCCTCTGATTATCAGAAAAGAATTAGGTGCTATTTTTCTCATAAGTAAAAAAAAAAAAAAATTGATACTGTTGAGCAATGGAAAGCATGTCCTGTAATAGATGGTAATGGGAGCCTAAAATGGTACTATTATTTTGGAGGGAATTTAGAAATTCTTATCAAAATTTAAAATATGCATGATCCTCCCTTTGATCCAGCAGTTCCACCACCAGACAACTATCCTACAAAAACACTCCTGTAAGTGCACAAAAAAATATGTACAAAGACGTTCATTGAAGCATGTGACTCCCAACCGAGATGAAAGGTTCGTGAGAGTGGGAAGTTTGTCATCCACTCCTGTGTTGTCCGTAGTAGATCGCTGCTTAGAACATAGTAGATGCTCAGCAAGTATCTGCTGAATGAATGAACAGGACTGAAAATTGGTAACTAATTTTCTGTCCAAATAGTTACCTCTACCCTGTGGGATACCATGAGCTGTTAAAAAGAATGTGGTAAATCTACATGTACTAACACTGAAAGATCTCCAAGGTCATGTGTTTAATTTAAAAAACAAGAGCAGTAAAAAAAAAAAAAAATTAGAAATGACATAAATTCTATCATCAGAGGACTGATTTGCTGGATTGTGATTTAAATAAATTTAATACTAGGTATCCATTTTGATGTTGGCCTTGATCTATATTTATTATTGTCTAAGATGTCTGGGATACTGAAATTACGAAAACAATAGCATTATGAGCACTCAGTACACATCAAGATTATTCCTCCTGATCCTCAGAATTCCCACATGTGGTGGGTACCATCATTCCATTTTTTTTTTAAAGATTTTATTTATTCATTTGACAGAGAGAGACACAGCGAGAGAGGGACACAAGCAGGGGAGAGTAGGAGAGGGAGAAGCAGGCTTCCTGCTGAGCAGGGAGCCCCATGCGGGGCTCAATCCCAGGACCCTGGGATCATGACCTGAGCTGAAGGCAGACGCTTAACGACTGAGCCACCCAAGGGCCCCTATCATTCCATTTTACAGCTAAGAGCCCTGCAGCACAGAGAAAGTAAGTAATTTCTTTCTTAAGTAAGTAATTACACTGTGACAGAGCCAAGATTTAAACCCAGGCAGTGTGGCTCCTGTGAAACCACCCAAGGATAAAGTGACTGCATGTTCTAGTAAAAGTCTATTGACTCCATATAATTATTAAGAGCATCCCCTTTCTTTTCAGAAAGTCCCACGCATGGTCAGTATATTTTATTGACACTCTACTTACAGAACACATATAAGCAGCATAGGCGTAGTGTAGTGGCTGAGTTCAGTTTCTGGAGCCAAAATTTGGGCAATTTACTCACACTCTCTCCTTCAGTTTGTTCGTATGTAAAATGGGGATGGCGGTAATAAGTGACTCATATAGTTGTTGAAGGACTCAATGATTTGATATTTCTTAAGTGCCTGGCACGTAGGACCATATTAATTACTAACATATATATATATATATATATGTATATATATACATATATATATATATAGTGTGTATGTGTGTGCATGCGTATATTGTGAGATATCTGGATGTTCAAAAAATATTAACAACAGATATCCTCTTTTGTTATTTTTGGACATTACACATATGCATATATATGTATGTGTATGTGTATATGTTGGAGATCGAGATCTATATCTATATCTATATCTATTTGTGTGTGAGTGTGTGTGTTTAATACTGAGCAAGTGCCCTGACAAACATTAGAAAGTCATGTGACTTCTGTGATGCATCTTGCTTGCCATTCAGCAGTGATGATCTAACCGATAGTGTGAATTTACCAAAGATGATTGAACAACAACAAAAATTTTAAAACTGTTACACTAAGATGAAAATTAAAAGACCGCTATTACAAGATGTCCATCGACAGATGAATGGATAAAGAAGAAGTGGTATATATATATACAATGGAATATTATGCAGCCATCAAAAGAAATGAAATCTTGCCATTTGCAACAACGTGGATGGAACTGGAGGGTATAATGCTGAGCGAAATAAGTCAATCAGAGACAGACATGTATCATATGACCTCACTGATATGTGAGGAATTCTTAATCTCAGGAAACAAACTGAGGGTTGCTGGAGTGGTGGGGGGTGAGAGGGATGGGGCAGCTGGGTGATGGACATTGGGGAGGGTATGTGCTGTGGTGAGGGCTGTGAATTGTGCAAGACTGTTGAATCACAGATCTGTAACTCTGAAATAAATAATACATTATACGTTTAAAAAAGAAGAAGATAGCGGGGGGGGAAGAATGAAGGGGGGAAATCGGAGGGGGAGATGAATCATGAGAGACGATGGACTCTGAAAAACAAACTGAGGGTTCTAGAGGGGAGGGGGGATGGGTTAGCCTGGTGATGGGTATTAAAGAGGGCACGTTCTGCATGGAGCACTGAGTGTTATACACAAACAATGAATCATGGAACACTACCTCAAAAACTAATGATGTAATGTATGGTGATTAACATAACATAATAAAATATATATATATTTAAAAAAAAGACCGCTATTATCATTACTGTGTCAGATCGGATAGCGCTTGATTTTATTGATACTTGAAGTGTAACCAGAAGGAACGCGTCAACTGCTGGTTTCTCCATTAACTATTTAATTACTTGGAAACAAAGTACTTAAGGGATCCTGGCAATCTTTGGCCTTGAAAAATGTGCAAGGGAGACCGCCGGTATCTGCATTAGGATCGGTGGGCTGAGAGCGCGCTGGGAGGCGGGCGGGGTCTGGCGTTGGGACGCGGTTTTACTGCTCAGCTCCGCGAGTTTCTGAGGTTCTGCAAGCGGAATTAATTGCGAAATCTCAAATTTACAGCAGAAACCGTGGCTCCCAGTGCTCGCCTTGGGCAGCCTGAGGGATGGCTTTTTACTTCTGGCTGGTTCCCCTCTATGAACAACTTCAAAAAAGAGTTCTCTGGGTGAAACCAAACCCTGGGAATGGAAGTCAAGAAAACGAGCTGTTCCCTTTGCGGGAGATTAGGAACTAGCTGGCAGGAGGCATGAGGAACCGGACGAAAAGTTTCCACAGACTGATGTGGGAGGGTCTTTTCAGGGTCTGTACAGATCCATCCAGCTGACGCACCTTACAGTGTAAATTTTATCTCAGTTTTAAAGGTTGTTATTGTTTTGGGGCGCCTGGGTGGCTCAGTCGTTAAGCGTCTGCCTTCCGCTCAGGTCAGGATCCCAGGGTCCTGGGATCGAGCCCCGCATCGGGCTCCCTGCTGAGAGGGAAGTACTCTTCTCCCTCTCCCACTCCCCCTGTTTGTGTTCCCTCTCTCGCTGTGTCTCCCTCTGTCAAATAAGTAAATAAAATCTTTTTTTTTTTAAAGTTATTGTTTTAGTTTTGGTTTTGCTTATTGTTTTGAGTTCTCTGGTCTCCTGTATCTCTGGGCGCGCAAGAAGTACTGCTTTATATTCATGAAAAAAACTCACTTTAGTGGTCTGGCCCCTCTGATGCTCCCCCAACCCCTTGCAGGCTCCGCAAACCACCTAACCTGGTGTCAGCTGTAACCGCCCGGGCACTGTGGGGCCAGCGAACAGAAATCCCATGCAAAGTAGAAAACGCCAGCGATCCCCATCCACATACACACACCTACCAGTTACCTTCACGCCAGCAGCCGGGCAGGGAGCTCCGAGCCGGGCTCCGAGCACCTTGCGCAAAAGGCGGGCATCTCCGCCGGGGCTTCGGCCGCTGAGCCGGCTGGACCAGCCAGCCCCGCGCTCCCCGTCCGCACGCTCGGTGCCAAGGCCAAGCGCTCTGGCGAGTGGCACGGAATCGCAAGACCAGCACTCCCTACTCAGCCCTGGCCAGCGGGCTCTCTGCTGACCCGGAATAGAAGAGGCTTTGTTTCGCGCGCGGTGCCCAGCGGTGCCCAGCCGCGCGCCACGGACGCCGACTTACCCCAGCTCAGGTCGCACGATTTGAGTGTAGGTGTAGCACCGTCCCAGGAGGATCTCGTACAAATGGGCAGTGGTGCCCTCCCCCTTCCACTGCTTGGGCGGAGGGCGCCACATCAAGATTCCGACCGGCACCGCGATGATCACCGCGATCAGGAGACCAAAAAAGACGCAGAGACAGATCTGGGTTTTCTTGGAAATGTTGCAGCAGGGTTCTTCCTCGGACACGGAACTGAATCTGTGGTTGGCCATTGGTGTCCCCTGAGGGGTCTGCCGGGCCAAGTTGGAGGAGAGACCCGCCAGAGGCCGGTCAGCAAGAGAGGAGAGAGCTAGGCCGGTTCTGAAACTGCACCTCCCCTTTATGGGCTTCCTTTCCCACCCACCCCCTCCTCCAAAGTTCCGTGGCCGGCTGGACCAATAAAGACTTAAAGAACTTGAAGGATTTCTGCTACTACAGCCGCTCACTCCAGCCTCCTGAGCAGAGAAGGACCAGACTGCATTTCCAGGGAAAAGCCCCGGCCTTAAGCTTTCTCTGCAGGTGTCCGAAAAACAGACACTATCACTTCATACTTCTCCGCGCGCTCCTTTTATCAGCCTTGCCCTTTACATTTTAGCCACACCTGATCCTGGAAAGTGTCCAGGCTAACTGCCTGCCTCTGCACCTGCCTACAAGCAAGGTCTACTGCTGGGAGATCTCTACCTCTACTTCTTCGCCTTGGCAAATGCCTGCTCCACCCCCTTCAAAAGCTCCACTCAAGCCTCACCCTTTACCCCTTAACTCAAGTAACATCAGTAGTTAAGCCTGGGTTCAAATCCAGCTCCACTACCCACTACTGGAGTGGTATGGGGCAAGTTACTTGACCTCTCTGTGCTTCAGATGTAAAGCAGGGATCATAGCAGTGCTTACTTCATGGGGTACGATGAGGATTAAGAGAGGTCATATCTGCAATGTGTTTAGCACAACGAATGCTAAGTGCTCAACAAATGTTAGCGATTACTACCTGCTCTGTGAGGCTAGGGATGGAATTCTAGAATCCATGGGATGTGCTTGGAAGTGTCTGGCATGCAGCAAGCACTCCAAGCGGTGGTTCAATAAATAATCAAGTGGCTAGTCTCAGACAACTCCTGCCCTCTCTCAAGGTTCCTTAACACTAGGACCATCTGTGACATTCAGCAGAGACCTAAGGATAGTGAAAAATCAAGCCACAGGACTTCCTGGGGCAAAAGTTTTCCAGATGGAAGGAATAACAGAAGTCATGGCTGAGGCGGAAAAAAACAAAAACAAAAACAAAAACAAACACCTCTGAGGAGAAAGAAAGAAAGGCCCTTGGCCTGTTTCAGGAGCCTCAAGAAGGCCATTGGAGCTGGAATGCAGGGTTAAGGGAGGCAGAACAGGAACGTTCAGAGGGTAGCAGAGGGCCAGATCACTAATAGCCCCGTGGGACGGGATAAGGACTTTTTGGACAGAGAATTTTATTTTTAACCTATTCAAGGTCACTGGGTGACTTGATCAGGCATGATATTTGAAAGGTTCAATCTGGCTTCTGTGTTGAGAATAATTGTAGGAAAGTAGAGGTGGAAAGGCGGAGACCAGTTATGATGACTTTGACTAGGGAAGTAGTAACAAAAGTGGCAAAGAAAACAAGCAGTTGGATTCTGGATACATTTTGAAAGTAGAAGCAACAGGATTTACTGATGAGTTGGATGCGGGTTTGCAAGAAAGAGGAGTCCAAGAGGACTCCAAGAATTCTGGTCTGAGTAACTGACCAAAAGAAGGGCAGCATTGCCAATTATAGTGATGGGAAAACCGGGGCTGAAGGAGATTTGGTTTGGGGGAAAAGGCACCAAACAAAAATTTGCTTTTGGAGGTAAGTTTAAGATGCCTATTAGACCCCCCAGGAGGAGACATCAAGTAGCTACTTGGGTATAAATATCTGGAATTCAAGGGGTCAGTGCTGGAAAGATAAATATGGGAGGCTTTATCATGCAGATAGCTTTTAAAGCCCAGAGGATAAATAAGATCACATAGAGAGCGTGTGCAGAAACAGCAGTTTCAGAGACTCACCCGGGGGGGGGGTGCCTGTAGCAGAGGTCAGAAAGATGAGAAGAGTTCCAGCAGAGGGAGCTGGCAAGAGTGACCCCTGAGACAAGAGGCTGAGACCAGACAGGGCGTTATTGGTACTCTTGACAAGAACAGTTTCAGAGGAATGTGGAGGACAAAGCCCGATAAGTGTAGGTTCACGAGAGTGTGCGTGAAGAGAATGTGGTATCAGTAAGCGAGATGACTTGTTTTGAAGAGTTTTCTGTCAAAAGAGTAGCGAAATGAGGACACAGCAAGAGCGACACCGTGTAGTCTCTCCTTTCTCCGAGGAAAGACCTATAGCATTATGTCTCTAGGATGACTGGATAGCCCAAGACACAGGCAACAGCTGATAATGCAGAAGAGGGGGAAATTGCTGGAAAAAGCTTAAAATTTGTGAAAAGTTCATGTGCAGGTGAGAGGAACCGAGGAGGCACAGGGGCGTGTGTGTGGAAGCTCTGCTACCTCGCAGAAGGAAGATGGAGACCATGGCTTTCGGGGTTAGGTTATTGGGTTGGCTGACAGTGACGTGGGCGCATCCTCTTCTGACTGCTTCTCAGTGGAATGAGGTCATCCACCTACTGAGAGTGGGTGAGTGCTGGTAGAATTGCAGGAGACCAGCAGAGTAGATGGAGTAGGGAAACCAGAGAGGTTCTCAGGGTATCATGAAGTGGGCAGGAATTTAAAGAAAGGCCAGTCAATGAGGGGGTGCTCTTTTGTCTGGCTACTCCCTGCTGCCTAGGAGAAAGGGCAAAAGTGGGCAAAGTGTGGGAATGAGGATGTTGGGGTTTGCTGGATTTGCCAGGGCTGACGTAACAAAGCCACACAGTCTGTTGTGGCTCAACCAACAGAAATTTATTGTCTCCCCATTCTGGAAGCTGACATCAAGATACCCACAGGGCTGATTTCCTCTGAGGCCTCTCTCCTTGGCTTGTAGATGGCTACCTTTTCACTGTGTCCTCACACGGTCTTCCCTTTGTGTGTCCATTCCAATTTCTTTTTCTTTGTGCTTTTTATTTTTTTTAAGTGGGGGAAGGGGCAGAGGAAGAGGGAGAGAGAGAATCTTAAGCAGGCTCCATGCCCAGGGCAGAGCCCGACACAGGTCTTGATCTCACAACCCTGAGATCATGCTCTGAGATGAGATCATGAGTCGGACGCTTAACTGACTGAGCCACCCAGGTGCCCTTCTCCATTCCAATTTCTTCTTCTTATAAGGACACCAGATTTATCAGGTTAGGGCTCACCCTAATGACCTCACTGTAACTTAATTACCTCTTCAAAGGCCCTGTCTCCAAATCCGGTCACATTCTGAGGTACTGGGGGTGAGGACTTCAACATATGAATGGGATGGGAGGGCACCATTCAGCGTGTCACACCAGGTAAGTACAATGGAGTAAGAGAAAAGGAAGGAAAGAAGCAAAGATGGGATTTTAATAATGGACCATCACACCAAAGTCCCCCCCAAACTGGGGAGCTGGCAAGAGTGACCCCTGAGACAAGAGGCTGAGACCAGACAGGGCGTTATTGGTACTCTTGACAAGAACAGTTTCAGAGGAATGTGGAG